CTGCAATGCCTCTGCTCCTTACTCACCTTTGGCGGCAGCTCCACCCAAGGGTAGGTGGCAGAGCTTCAGCTACTTGCTGTGTGACTCACCAGACAGCAGCTCCGTAGAGGTTGCCAGCCTGCCTGTCTCCTCTTCCTCTCCGGAATAATGCAGCCCGTATTACTACATCCCAGGGATTAGCCTGGCATTTAATATGGATGCCTTCAGGTTTTTATTCTCAGAGAGTGGCTAATTCTTTATTGAAAGAAATGGAGGCTTTGCATTTTTTAGCAAGAGATCCGTCGATATAGGCTGTTACTCAAAGAAGTGGTTGACTGTTGGAATAAAGTTGACACTAGGAATGCTTTAAGCTAGATGATTTTCTCTTCATTTTATGTACCGTCTGACTACACCAAAGGACTGGCAAGGATGACATACTTATTTTACTGCACACCAGTTTTTGATGTTGATTTCTGTTAAGACATTTACCATGAGGCTGGATCTCCTGGCTGTCTATGTTCTAAGAAACCTCGTTGATGTAGTGCAAAAATCCGAAGTTTGGACTGTGCAGGAGGAAAATACATTTTACACTCTTGTAACTCTCATTGTTTGTTTTAGCCTTTTGTGTGAAAACCATTTCTGCACTGCTTGTTATCCTAAAGTACATGCAACAGTAATAGTCTTTCCAGCTGTACTGATTTGTATTCTACTTTCTCCTTCATGGCATTAATGATGAATCTTTGTTCTTGGGTCTGAGCACACATTAATGAGAGCTAGTAGGAACTAGCTCTGGATAGTAGCACACAACATTTCCATTTGGTAAATTGATGCAATTGTCCAAATACTTGGAAATTACTGTGATGGTTTATAGAATCCCATAGCCTTAAACAATACGGTATCATGTCCTTGTACTAGTGCAACTTGGGCAACAACATAAACATGTGCAACAGTGTTCTCACAACGAGCGGGCAGTAAAAACAGTGGACAAAATGTTTCGCTTTTTGTTCATACAACTAAGAATGGATTTTCCTCTATTTCAGGCACACCCGTCATGTGTTAACATCCATGTCTGTGTTGTCTTGTGATGATAAAAGAGAAGGATAGGGAGCAACGCACTTCACGTTGACATAAGTAGCGTTGACATGGACGTAGTGTTCCCCAATAAAAGTGGAGAAGATTGTTGATATTTTTGAAACAAGTTCAGAAAATGCTGGACGCATCTCAGGTTTTGGATGCCAGCACTTCAGCATGACTTCATACCTGCCATTCAAATAAAAGAAGTGTTCAATTATGAAATCATGTAAAAAGGAAAAAAATAAACCCTCTTTCCTCCCACAGTTTCACTTACTATAATATCACTATCAGCAGCATTTGCAGAAGGCTTTGCAACCTATTTACTTACAGTGGGTCGGGACAGTATTCAGGTTGTAGCAGCCTTCTTCCTTGTAATAAGTAAACAGTTATATCAAAAGAATTTACATCAGGATAAGGTGGTGCCCCTCTTGTCATAAGTTCCCATAACAACACGCCAAAGGACCACTAAGAAAACAAAGAAATAAATAAGAAGTGATTGGGTTGGAGGGCTTTACATTCCAGTTTTAGAAGATGGTTTGACAGATTTAAGCATTCAAATGCATGGATTTTCCCTTTGAAAAGTTATTTTACTGCATTCAGCTTTCTTTTAAGTGGGCTAATAAATGCTGTAGGGACTTGAGGAGCCACTTAAATTAGAGCCAGAGAAACTCAACTGAGTAAATGAAAGAAAATAAAAGCCTATAGGCCTGCTACTTAGTATAAATTGGCAGACCTCTTTTGAGGTTAATGGAGCTCTGCCAATTTACATGAGCTGCTGCTCTGACTAACCCTGTGTAAATACATACTGAAGAGAATATACGTGGTGAAAATTCTATGCATCACAGGCTAATTTGAATCTGGATTGAAAGAAGAGCTAAAATACAAAGTGAACCAGCCAACTAATGACTTCATCTTATAATTTTTTCTTCATAAATGGCCAGGTAATACTTGAGATTGCTGTAGGCAGTCAGTAAGTATTTACAAAGCAAATAAAGTATTTTTGAGAACAGTTAAATTTTACGAGTCTCAAAGTTAACCTGTTTTGTCAAGCTTTCCAGAGCCCCTCCTATAGCAGGGTTCAGCTCCAACTTGGCTTCTTGGAATGTCCTTAGTTTCCCTTGGAGTGGGGCTGAACTCCTAATTCTTCCCCGAGCAGATGATCAGGTCAACAAGTTATTGCTTTGTTACTGGGACAAATACCCTTTCTGGATGTAGAAACAATCTATTATTCTTATGTGAACTAAAGTTAGATTGAAGTAGAAGTTTTGGTTTGGAGTTAGTCCATTCATTAAATACTAGAGAGATGCCTCAGGCAATGTAAGATAAATTAATAGATGATACAAGTATGTTTGTACATTACCACATCTGACTTCGTTGTGAACTTCTGAGTTTGTAAACTTTCTAAAGCCATCCATTTCACTGGCAGTTTAGCTCCTGTTTTATTGTGCACGCTGTAGTATTCTTTATCATAGACATCTCTAGCAAGACCAAAATCAGCAACCTTGACAGTGAATTTTTCATCCAACCTAGAGAAATGACAAAAAGTATTATTTGTAACTGAGCTGGTGAGATTTACAGTGATGGTGGATTATAATGGGTGACTTGCATTTTTGAGACTGTGAATTTGGAAGGCAGTACTTTATTTTGGATCTATTAACTAATGGAACAGCGAAACAAAAAGTGCAGCAAAGTATATTTGACACTCATTTAACACAGTGAATGAACTCAGGAAATTACTGATATAGTTTTGAGAATATAATTTGAATTACAGTTATTTTAAAACAATTGCTCTGTATAAAAAGATTTTTGTTAATAGCCTATACATCCTGGTTGAGTGCTATATAATTTCTTCCACAGCTGTTTCTTCTTCTGTATCCTAGAAACCTCTCATTTTTATTTCCAAGTCAAGGTATCACCTTTCCTATTCACTCTCAATTTTGACAGGGAAAGGTCCAATGCTATCTCAGTGATTGCCTGTATATAATAATGTAGTCGTGTAACTAAGTTTGGTGTCTGTACTTGGAAAGAATGGTGGCATAAGGAAAGTTCTGCTGGGGTTACAGCTCAACCGTACGAGATCTCCCTAGCTTTGCTCCTCCTAAGCTTGGTGTTTGTCCTGAGAAGCGATATCATTGTCAGAAAACAGAAAGAGCATGGGTGTTGGCATGCTTAAGCCTCTACTTCATTATATGTGCAGACTTAGCCACAGCAAACACCTGCTTTTGGGCTTCTTTACAGAATCACACAATCACAGAATGAGTGAGGTTGGAAGGGACCTCTGAAGATCATCTAGTTCACTACCACCTACTCTGCTCAAAGCAGGGTCAGCTACTGCAGGTAGCCCAGGACCGTGACCAGTTCAGTTTTGAGTATCTGAAAGGATGGAGACTCCACAGCCTCTCTGGGCAACCTGTGCCAGTGTTCAGTCGTCCTTACAAGAAAAACATTTCTTCCTATGTTTAAATGCAATTTTCTCTATTTAACTTTGTGCCCACTGCCTCTTGGCCTATCTCTGGGCACCACTAAGAAGAATCTGGCTTCATCTTCTTTACTCCACTGTATCAGGCATTTGTAAACATGGATAAGATCTCCCTGAGTGTTCTCTGAGCTAAACAATCCTGTCTCTCTCAGTCTCTACACATGGCATTTCCTTGTCTTAAATTTATGAGGTTTCTGTCTGGACAACTCTCTGGTCTGTTGAAGTCTTTCTGAATGGCACACAACCATCTGCTGCATTTACTGATGTAATAACTAAACCAATACCAATGAAGGGAGTAGGAGGGAACTTTGATGAGTCAATAGGTGACAGTTTATGCCATAGCAGATTCCTGTACCTCTTCCAGGATAGTGGAATAGAGTCAAGAGTCCACGGGATCTGTATTTGCAGCCTGGCTCCCTTTCTGATGGATATTGCCATTGTGGCAGGGGCTGTGCTTCTGAGTGCTGGATTGCACATGGCTACTGGGGAATGTGGGTCTTCAGCCCTACAGCTTCCTCTCACGTGGCAGTGGCTCTCCAGGCTCTGAAGCGCTGAGCCACACAGAAGTACAAAACCAGCCATTCAGCTGGCAAAGTGAGACACCTTGAACTGTTCCCTCCTCACCCAAGGAAGAGACAGTAGGCCAGAGGGAATGTCCTCTTGCCACTATTTGGACTTCGATTAGATGGACCAGGACTTCTATCCACTAAGCTAATTACTTTCTTCTTAGGAAACCTGAAAATCATGTTGTTTGGGGCTTTTTCCTCCCTTAAAAAGCCATCAGCTGTAAGAAAATATTTTTCAGAGGCTGTTCAGCTGCACGAGTGTGCATACTTTGAAAGAGAGTAAGAAATCTGATCTCACAGGTGAATAACCTTTTTGCAGCCAGAGTTCCAGATTATGATATGCTAAATATAAACTCTAACATTTAATCCTGTACCTCATTAATTCACAACATAAGTGATGAATAAGCATAATAGTATTGGCAACTCTTGTATCAGTCTTTGTGTGAACTGAACTGTCTGGCTACACAGACACTAGTAAGATTCTTTGCATGCTTTAATTTTTTAATGTTAATTTGTGTGTGCAATGGAGCCAAAGTCAGCTCATACTCATGTAATGAAAGACTGCTGTCAGTAAGTCTCACTGATGTTTTTTTGTGTTCCTGTTTTTCTCACAAAGTTCCCCTGTGTTCCTTTCTCTCCTGCTAGGTGTGGCAGCAGAGATGCTCTGCTTCTGAAGAGGCTGGGTGGAAGCATAGCAAGTTGAGACAACAGCAGTTTAACTTCCCTTAGGAGACGCCTTTTAAATGCTCTCACCAATGATTTTGAGAGACTACACTCTCACCTCAGCTGTTCTTATTTCCCACACTCAACAAAAAAGTCTATGTGTAAGAAGTGAGCCCTTAGCAAGCTGAGTAGCTCATTGGTATGCAAGACAAATATCAGTGTAATTATGGAACAATGTAAAAGCACCCTATTTTGACTAAAAAAGGAGAATCCTGGAAACTTTCATTTACCTCATCTCACTGTCTTACAGAAAAGAGTGTGATAGCATGACTGGAATTATATGTTTGTACTTACATACAGTTTCTTGCTGCCAAGTCTCTATGGACAAACTTTTTGCTTGCAAGGTATTTCATCCCTTTTGTGACCTGAAGGCCAAATCCAATTAAATCTTTTACTGTTGGGTTCTGTAAAATACAAACATTTGGGATACAATGAATGCAGAAGCCCAAGGAGCAGACTGTTTTTTGCTGTGACTCTCAGTTTTTGACACACCTATCTTGCCACTAGAATGATTAAGACAGGTTTGTGCTTGTAGTAAAACTGGCATTATTTCAGGTCAAGTTCTTACCTCCGGTGAGGAAATACACTTTAAGAAATAAAAAAAACCCCTGCCAGATTCCAGAAAAGTGGAGTTTGCAGCATAAGCAGCATGACATGGGCTGGGAAGTGGAACAGTATGCTGAAACCTCAACACCACAGCTGATACACAAAATTCACATTCGTGAACTTAGAGTAATAGCATTTAACTCTGTAGAAGGTGCTAACTATGAACTTGGAGCTCATCAACTGGAAATGATCAAGAAAGGAGAATGTCCTGTTTGGGGAAAAATAAGTGCAAGTTGTCATCAATATGATGCCATGCAAAAGGCAAATGAGACCTCAGCAGTTACCAGAGGAAGATTTTCTGCAAAGTTTGGTAACTCTTTCTGCTGGTCTACAAGGTAAGACCTTACTGAAAATGTTCAATATATAAATAAATATAAACATAAACCTGTAATTCTTTTATCCAATATCACGATTTGTTATGTAATAGTATGGTCCAACAAATTTTTGTGTTGTTGCCATTGCTCTGTCTGATTTTCTTCTGTGGAACAACCTTGTTCAGCTGTAGTGTTATTCTGTTTATTTCCGGAAGGACCATGGCACTATTCACAAAGTCTGTGGTGCTTGTAGAATGAAAGAAGCTTAAAAAGGAAGAGGTCCTTACCTCAGAAAGCTTAACTCCTCCAAGAATTTTCAAGATGCAGGAGGGGTTTATTTTAGAATTTTACTGGCTATTTTTGATTGCCATAGAGGCAGGGGTGAAATCCCATTGGCTCAGAAGTCACTTTATATTGTCCTAGCACTGTGAAATGGGTTAAATACTACATTATAAAGTGGGCTTACACTACCTGAGACAAGACCTGTGGTCTCATACTTGAGAGAAAGCAGTGAGGCACATTTGAGAAATCTGCAGTCTTTCAATGAGTGTTGGGAAAATCTCTGATAAGAGAGTACTCATAGTTTGTATAACAATTGCTGTTTTTCTATCTTAAGATAAGAAGAAAAAATATTGATAATAACAGGACTGTGGCACTCTCTAGCTGGACATGAAGATCCCTTACCTAGAAGTTGGAAGAACAGATGGTGAGGACTGGCACAGCTGTGCTGAAGTCAACAGAGATATGCCAGTTAAAACCAGCAGATGGTTGGGCCCCTTGACTTAGATCTCATAAACACATTGTTTATAAAGAGGCTTATGGATGGGAAATGAGAAATACTTATTGCTGATAATTTCTGGGAAACATTCTAGAGAGGAATTTGAGGGGGAAGGGAAGGAGTGGCAGTGCTGTGGCTGGGCTCAGTGCCAGCTTAAGCAAGTGCGAAAGGTTAAGTTGTAGTAATAGCACCAAGTTAGAGACGTAATGTAATTATCAGAGCTTATAACCTGTGGCGCTGGAGCAGGGCGTGGCTAGACTTTCATTACCATTTTGTAGACCTCACCATGTACTTACATGAGTCTCATTCCTAATGAAGTTTCGAAGATCTCCGTGTTTCATGTATGGAAGAACGACTAAGGGGGATCCCTCAGTGGGCAAACAGATTCCCAGGAGCGACAGAACATTGGGATGAGTGAAATCTTTCATGATTATTCCTTCTTTCAGAAACTGAGCTACTTCTTCCAGGTCTGTAATCCCTGAGGAATCCAGTGATAAAATGAATTGATTAAAAAAACCCCAAACAAACTACAGTAATTTCTGTACTGCACGTCATTACACAACAAATATGAGAATGAGAAGCTACAAACATGTTCTCCGCCTCCCACATTACAACTAGGTTCTGTGCAGCAGTTTTCTTACAATGACCAAATACAGTTTGTTGGTGATTTTAATTCCATTTCTCCTTTTCTGATTATGAATTATTTAGAATTGAATAACAACAGTTGAGTAAAGCCTTTAATAAATATTTTTGTCTCTTCCTGTTTTTCCAGAAGCTTTGCCTGCTCTTTAGCAATTTATCTTCCAAAACCAAATCTTCAGTAGTCAGTAGAATAAAAAATGACACTGCCTTTCCCTCATTTTCCTCTGTCCTTTTTTTTGTAGAGGAAATATATGGGCATTTCATTTGATGCACAAATATATACCTATTCCTTGTGGTAATCTGAAGTAACTGGAGTTGCTCCAGAGATAAATCTGATCCAGCTGCAACTAAAAAAATTTATTTGTGAAAGTATACTTCACTGTAATTAATTAGTTCACCCCAGTTATCTTTGGAATTGTGGCAATGTCTCACTATTAAACATATAACTCACTATTCAGCGACTTCACTGCACAATGTATTTTCCTGCCATCGTTATCCAGCAATGTCCCATGATATACACACCCAAAATGTCCTGTGAAAAAAATGAGAAAAATTAGCTTTAATAAGTAGAATTAGCTGTCTAATATTTTCTGCTGGGTAGCAATTATGCTTTAGGAAAGTGATCACATTCCATTTCTGTCCAATTCCCAACACTTGTAATATATACTTCATAATTAACACATAAAACTATCATTACATAAAACCATCATTACATAAAATTAAAACTCTATTTGCAGCATAACTGATATTTCTTGACCTTGATGGAAAGTATAAATAATGACCAGGCTGGCACCACAACTGTTTCATATTCTTGTAATGACTATGCACACAAAAACCATGTTGGCCCATTCCCACCATACTCTCCTGTTAGGTACATGTCAAAGGAGGACACCGGAAGGCAAAGGGAAGCAGTTAGAAGGAGTTGACATGATCACTGGATCAGTGATTCCCAGTGGTTTGCAAGCCCATGCTAAAAGTGGTCCACTGGATTGTACAGCCTTGATGCATCTTCCATTGAAAGTTGCATAAGAAGGGTCACTGTGGGCTTGCAGTGTCTCAGGAGGTCTTGCTATTCCATGGAAAATGCTGAGTGTTAAGTTCATTGGCCATGAACAATTTGGGAGTTGCTCTACAGACCACAGACTGACCACATTACTAGGCGGCAGTCTGTAGTCTCTGCTATGGCCTAGTTCCTAGTGCAAAATATCACTAAAAGATGATGAGCAAAATCTGCCTTCTTGGGGATGGTCTAAGCAGTGAAATAAACGGCCAGGGACACAGAAATTCTTCCTAAGCCTGTGCTTTCCTGTCAGGCAAATGGAGTAGTCTGCAGAGAGGGGAGACCTACTATGAGATGTCAGCTTGACCTATTTGGGACACACAGAGAACTTTGAGCTCCAGGCACATGTGTTAATCTATCCATATCAAATTATGTACATGTAATGGTGGCTTTTCTTCACAGAAGTACTATTTACTGAACACTTTTAAAGTATTAATATTTGCAGTTAGAAAGCAAAATAGATTTTTTGTGAAGTGTGAGTTCTGCAGAGAATAAGACTATCTGATTAATTCTACTAGGTTCCAGTTGTAAGTACTGGTCAGAGCCCAGTTGGCTTTGCTTTTGGCTTGGGGTAAAATTAATAAAAAGTTTGTTTTATAAAAGCAACTAAAATCCCATCAGACCACAGATTGTTTGGAGCCTGGGCATAAATCCTAAAGCTTGGATTGGGTGTGTCTGAAATATTTTTGAGTTTGGCCCATTTCTAGTTAAGGAGGAGAAAATTAAAAAATGTTAATTATATTGGTGTCATTCCTGATATATTTGAAAAATGGGAAATTACTTGGCCTTTTTTGAAGCAAGAAAGAAAAGAAAAAGGCCCACCCTTGCTTTGGGGATGATGAAGTATAATACATGGAAGGGAAACACACTGACTGTTTGATTTGTGGCTATTTTCCTGCAGAAGAGGTATTAAGAATATAATTTATAGCCAAATTTTTATCAGTATTCTGATACTCAACAAGAGACCTCTCATGCATGATCTGTAGAAGAACTGAAAATCCAGGTTCTACTTGGGTTAGTCAACAGTGCAGATTTTAATAAATTCTGCTAACAGAAATACTGGCTTGGGCTATAAAAGAAGGAGGGAACCTGCTTACAGAGATGTAGAGGAATAGGAGTGTTGGGAGAAAGACAGAAAAATAGGGAACTCGCTATATAAAGTACAAAAATAAAGGCAAGTGAACCAAGAGCTATGCATTGCTACAGCTGGGATGAGAGAGGAATGAGGGAAGAGCCTTCAGCAGAGGGAAACAGTGAATTCCTCAGAGCTGGAGGAAGCTTGCAAGGGATAAAGGGTTGTGTGCATTTCACCTTGCCCATGGGCACTTTTACTGAATGCACTAGTGACTGCAGGAGTTTTCTGTGTCATGTAGCAATCCTGACAGCTCTCAGGCTCCGAGTTCAAGATCGCTGGTGCCCATGCCTCGGCATCCCCTGCCATTTAGGCATGTGCCTTAGACTCGTACAATATTCTATGGCAGCCTCACTCCTGCTCTGCAGCCTTGTGGATCAGAGGCCCTGTCTGAGCAGTGCTGTAAGAGGTGAAAAGCTTGAAAAATCTCTGTGTAGACACCTTATTCAGAATGGTTGATAAAGATGAGTGTGCAGAAAGAACTGCAGTTTTGCAAGGTAAGAGTCATGGTACCCACCTCTTCCTATCACTTCACTGAAGTGCACAATCAGGCTGTCAGCACCAATAACCACATGCTGCACTTCTTTGACCAGATCAGGATTTAAGGCACTGATGTCAATATGGACATTAGTTTGGAGAAGTGGACTTGCTAAATCTGAGTCTCCACTAGACATAATTGGGGAGAGGTCAGAGTGAGGATCCTGGGCAGGTCTGCATGATCCATTCTGAGACATGCTTGGAAACTGATCTGCAAGAAGAACAGAAACTGTTATAATCCTTTCAGACTTCTCCTTGGACAATGAAGAGCTTTATTTCATTGGTGAGCAAAGGTTTGAGTTTATCAGTTAGGAAGTGGCTTGGCTTTGCAGAAGTTTTGATCACAAAGGGAAAATGAAAATATGCATTGCTAATCTGCCAAACTCCAGGAAAACTGTGTCACTAGAAACTTATGCTTGTCAGCTCTACTTTTATGAAAGTAAATGGCAAAACTTCCACTTTTCTGAGGGGAATGGAATGAAGCCTTGTCAATTCTGGCCAAGTGTAGGTTATAGCATTTCTAGTAATTGGGAGTATCAAGAGTAATTGAAAAATGACAGCAATATGGGATGAGGAAGTAGTGAAAAATTAAAAACATGAAAACTTCTATTATTGTGATGTTCTAATTTGGTAGGGAACTTTACATTTCATGAAGGTTTCCAAACTGCTGGTGACTAGCTATATTTATCCAATAGTTAATATTCAACCAGGGAAATGCCTAGAGGTGATTCATATCCTGTAACTGCTGAAGATAATACAGTTGGTGGTACTCATGAAAATAACATGAGCCAGCTGATTTAAAATAGCAGAAATTAAAATGTTGCAGTCAAGCAATGATTATTTATTAGAGAATTTTTTTTTTTTTTTGTCAACAGTATGTTGTTCAGGTATTTTAAATCGCTTTTGTTTGTTTAAAAGATTTTTTCCTAGCATTTTGTCTAATAGAGTCAAGGAACTAAGTTTAATTTACACCAATTGCACTCTGGAATGATTCCAGTGGAGTCAATGAGCAGAATTTAGCCCAGAGTCAAAAACAAAAAGAAGGTAATAAATTTAATGACAGAAATTATCAGATATTTTATCACAAAGTAAAAGGTGTCGTACAGCTTTATATATTTATGTGTAAAACTTTGGAAATTTTGATATAGGGCTGTTATCACTCTAGGTGGTGAGAAAAACTCAGTGGTGCTCTATTTAGAAATAAATATACAAACTCATTTATGTCACCAAGGGCAAATATCTAATTAATAATCACAGTAAAATACTTTAGCCATGGGTGCAAAATAATTTTTACAGCTGCTACATGTAAATCTGCATGTTTTCTAATGTTCCTCTCATTTTATTCTTTGACAGTAATTGATATGAACATTCCTACAGGAACATTAAGTGAATGGACCTCTTTCTTGGGTGTGCTCCCTGCTGTGCTTTGCCAGTGCACAGTGGTCCCAGGGCCACTGCAAATTTACCTTCCACCAAAGATCTTTGCATAGTTTTGTCTCATGTACCACTTTGCCTTCTAACCACTGGAACAGGCTGCTCAGAGAGTGTGGAGTCTCCTTCTCTGGAGACATTCAAAACCCGCCTGGATGCTTTCCTGTGCAACTTGCTCTAAGCGAAACTCCTTTGGCAGGGGGGTTGGACTAGATGGTCTCCAGAGGTCCCTTCCAACCCCTACCATTCTGTGATTCTGTGAATTGCTTTATAATGACTGTATGAAGTCATTGAGACACACTAAACCTACAGCCACTCAATGCTATCCTTAAAAATCACCTTTTTCAGAGTGGATTTTGCATAGTGTGATGGACCTCATAACACAAAATTTTTATACCCGCTAGCTCCAAATAAATTGTGGAGCATACTTACAGAGAGATTTTACTAATAGTCTTTTATATATTCCTCCAACCTGGGTAAAAGTAAATAACCTTTGCACCTTAATCTTGTGAAGCACCTGAGAAGCTCAGTTCAAATAGCAAGCCTGTGAGCACATAAAAGTCCCAAAGAATGCAGACATAGACAAACCAGATGAGCAATTGAAATTAAGATATTAATCAAAATAGCTATCATTTGAAGACATATGAAAAACAAGATGTATAAAATATCATCTGTACAGATTCATAATAGGGGCATACCTTCTAGGAAAGTTGATCTGTAGTCTACAGATTCACTTGAAACCATTTCTGCCGTTGGGCTTACACTCCTCGCACTCACCAGCCTGTCCAGGTGAGGCGTGTGCACTCGGCCATCATAGCGCACTAGGTCACTTCCCAGATCTGAATGGGGAGAAGCAAGAAATATTAGAAAATTCTCATGTTTACTGTGTGTCAACATTCATTTAAGTATTTCAGTTTAGATGTTCTGCTCTGCTGGGAAGAGAGTCAGATTGCTGCTAAGGCAGACATGTGCAGGACCTGAACTTGAGCTATTTGTACAAGATTTGCTGTAACTTGTGTTAAAGCCCTGCTCTTGGCCACACTGCAAGACCCAAGAAAGCTTCCAAGCCTGTGGGGCCAGCTTCATTATCTGACGGTGATACTGCGTCAGAACAAGACCTGGCTATGTACCAGCTCCCCTCCTCCTCCCCCCTTGCGTAGTGCAGCAGTTCCCACTGGAAGGAAACCCAGACATGGGGGCCAAAGAGGAAGCACACTCTGACCAAGTTCCTGACTTGGGTGAACAGGAGAATAGGACACTGCAGTGCTCTGTGTCTTGCACAACTTAGGCACAGCTTGGAGGACTACAAGGCACCTGGATGAAGCTGAGGTACTTGTGATTTCATGCAGGACATTTACTCGTCCCCTCTTCCAAGGCTGATTGTAGAGAAGTTACTAAGTTTTCCTAATAACTCAGAGTTCCCCTGAAATCATTCTCCTTTAGGCACAGTGTGGCCCTTCACATAGCTCAGGCAAGAGCCAAGGACTGAAATGCAACTAAACATTGGATTTGATTGTGAAACCTCTGCTGACAGGTTACAACGGGGCATTGCATGGCAGTTAAGCAAAGCATAAACTGATGTCAGTTTTTAAAATCTAAGATATAATAATGGAATTATTTGATAGAATTGACTGTGATGGACCTTTAATTTGTTTCTTCTTCCTTCTCCAGAGGAAAAATACCAAAAAGATAAAAATTAAAACTGATGTTGAAATAACTCCAGCAATTAGTCCCGTGAAATTCTGATCTTGTCGGATCAGCACTTTTCCAATAACTGTTGACAAAACTTCTTGCTTCCACTGAAAAAAACAAAGAAATAAAATAGTGTGATGATTTCAAAAGGCAAGTAAGAAGTATATTATTAGTACTAAAGTATGAGCTGATATGTCCCATATCAGCTAAATCTTGATTTTGTGATGCTGTACTGTGACAAGACACAGGGAGCAGAGAAACTGTTATACTGGTGTACGCAAAAGCAGATCTACATTTTAATGATTCATTACAAGCCTTCAAGAGCTCTGGTAGTGTCATTGCTATGTGCGTGCTACACCATGCACATGGCACACACTCACACATGCACTCTGGATACCAGGGTCCCACTGCTACCAGATGTTAATTCAAAATGCTAAAATTGTACTTTTGCTCAAATGGTGCACAGAAATGTGTGGGTCTATTGATATATGGGCTGAGAGGTACATTAAAAAAAAAACAGCCCAAATGTCTTTAATATGTGTCCTTCTGGCATAAATACACTCTAGCATCAAACTCTCTCTCTGTTGACAGCACGCCTGCATTTTAGTTCCCAAGGTCACGTGAGCCTGTCCCTTGCCAGCTTCTAGCTTGTCAACAGTTTAAAGAAACAAAACAAAACAAAACAAAACAAAAAAAACCAACCCCAAAAATCAACAACCACACAAACACCAAGCAGCTAACAGGGAAAAACTGTTTTAGGTCACACAGCACTAACTCAGTCATTTGGAATGCATTTGGCCATCTTTTCTCTTCCTCCTGTGGAATTCATTCCTCTGGGTACTGTAATGATGGATTTGCCCGTCAAAAGAGCAAATTTTCTTCTTCGCTGGGCAGACTGCAATTTTTGAGGCTCCTTGCCAGTAAACAAGCAGAAACCTTATTTAACCCCTTTATGTTGTGTTCTTTTCTGTGTACAAAATATATGACATGCACGTGTCTTTCTTAGAGGTTAAGGAAATATCACATAGTAGAACTGATGGAATGTAGTGCCAGTCTTGATTTCATATGTAAAAATACGAACAGGTACAGAATGCAGTATGTGCACAAATATTATATGAAATTAGGCATGTGCAGGTCTGGGAAACAGACACACCAAAAGGAGAGCTTCATCTAATTTTATAGTTTACCTGATACATCCAATAAATTGAATTTGTACTTTTCAAAATAAATTAATACTAAATTAATATTTACTGTGTTAATAAAGCAAATTAGTTATTATTATTTACTTAGATTGCAGTAGCACACAGGAATACCATTCATGGCCCAGGATCCTATTGAGATGAAGGCCATAAAGACGTAGAAAAAACAGATGGTCCCTGCTCCAAAGAGCTTACGTAGACTTTGATCCTAATCACACTTACATGACTGGCAATGTTACCACTGTTTTCAGTGAATCAGAGTCCATGATCAGCAAATTTCACAGTTGAAAGGTAATCCCCTTCACCCTGATGATCTTTTTTTAATATTTTTTAAAAATGCAAAGATACTGAAAGATTTGTGTCTTATTTCATTAATCAGTAGGTCAAAACTGTCTACAATTTAAATTTGCAGTAGGTCCTGCTTTGTGCCCAAGACTCCAGAAAGTCTCTGTACAAACAGGTAATAACAACAATGATAATATTTCTTTTAAAATAGTCGATATTACTTGAATTTCCATCCAAACCAAACAGGGAGAGAGATATCTCTGTAAACACAGGCTTAGGCTTAAATTTAAAGTTTATAGGTTCAGTAGTGACATTGGGAATGATAATAAAAATGGCATTAATATCTCGTGTGTAGTGTAGCTGCCTCACCTCTATATTTAGCTCGCCGTTGGATTTCAAGAGATCACTGGGAACCGTACATAGAATTGATTCCGACTGCAGGAGAAGGTTTTCGCAGCTTTTATTTCCAACTTTTAGCACCTCTCCTTTAACAGCTTCTGAATCAATATAATTTCCCTTGGAAAAAAAAAATCAATTTCATATTACACAACGATCTCATAAAAGTTAAGGAGAAGTCATTTTATTACCTTGGAAAATATTTTTAATGGAAAAACAATTGTGAAATAAAAGACTAATGCAAATTTACATTGCCCTATCAATATGCATGTATCAACTTTTTAAATGTAAATAGGAGTTTGACAGACAGGCTAGAAGGGAATTATAAAGTTTACAGATAAAAATCTGCTGTCACTAATACTCATACAGCCCATACAGACTTCTAAAAATGTAAACGTCTGAGGGATAAATCCTGTTGGTCTTGTTTAGATTTTTGCATAATTTGCACAAGAAAGGAAGCATTATGTGACCCTGTTGTTTATACAAAACTGGCATTATACTATCCACAAACTAAAGGCATCTCAAACATTTTGTTTTGCAAGTGGTTATGGTAGCAGGAGTGAAACTTTCAAAAAGAACTAATTAATTATAATCATAAAAATGCACAAATCTGTTAAAATCACGTTCCACAGACCAAAAAGGAACACACCCTGGTAAAGATAACAGCATGAAAAGTGCACTTTCTACTCAGAAAACCTGCTTTCATATCCCAGACTTGGATGAAATATTATTCCTTCTGGCATTGTGATAGTAGTGTCCAAAGGCGAAGTTCAGGATCTTTTGTGCTCAGGAGTGCAGTATTTAAGAAGCTGCCCTACCCCGTGTACAGCCCAGCTTAAGATAAATTGCAGGCATATTAAGTGGGATTTAAAGAAGAGAAGGGAGGAGGGGGAGTAACACTAATACAGGCTATTTATGTGGGCTGGATCTGGGAGTTTTTCACAAGGGAGGAAGGCATCATGGCTGGCACTGCCATGAGGCTTTGTATACTGGAAAAAAACCAAGAATCCCATTCTGAGGGGCAAAAAAATCTTACATTGGCATATGTTTTAGGTCTGCTACAGAACTGAACTGAGCCCTGGGAAAATTTTAGTAAACACATAGAAGAGCCAGTTTAATGTCCTATTTTGACTGGCAAAGCCACACCCCAGGTGAGTGCTTTTTAATTGCTGGCCAAAAATTTCCATTTTGCACTCTATTTGCTGTCTACTTGGAGCCATTCTGTGTGGTGTTAATTAAGTAAATACTCAATGGGCCAGGGAGCATGTGATTGACTGCTTATTGCTTATTAGGACAGAGATTTGCTGCAGATTGTGAGCCATTCATGTTCAAATCTTTCCTTTAAATGATGTTGAATTTGAGTCTTCTGTCTGCAGGAAAAATGTACTATCCTGGACAGTGTGGGTGAGTGACCTCTTTTCTTCTACACCAAATCTCAGAATTTTTCTCCACCAAACTGATGTTAAGCCAAAGGAAAAAAAACAAAACATACTGACATTTCCTAAGGTGGTCCTTAGACAGTTATAACGAAAATAGTATTTTTTAATTACTATCATTACAATTACATTTCCAATAATACATTATAGTTTCAAATATATGCAATATAATACCTCAACATAGAAAAAGTTTCAGAATTCTTTCAGCAGTAGTTTTACTCTTCTTAGGACCAAAAATTTGCCAGTGATTTTAAGAAAAGCAGGGAACTGACTCCTGTGAGAACTGGAAAACAGTATTTCCTATTTAAAATGTGTATTACCCACTTCTTGCTGAGCAATACCCTTCCACACAAGCCAGAGAAGCTTGTTACTGGACTGAGCAACTGTTGCAAACTAATCTCTTAGGTCAGCTACTTCACAATTTCAGAGAGATGGGAAACATTTGGGTGAAAGTCTCGAAGCAGCAGAAGGACCACAAACCAAGGCAAGGAAATTTTGAGACTGGTGTCAGTAGAATTTTTGAGGTTCCTAAGCAGAGTAGGTTGACTTGGGAAGAATAAGGAGTTACTGCAGCTGCAGAGCTTCCACTTCAGCTTGCTCAGAAATACCAGGGTTTCCATATTGCACTTTCTTGGACCAGGCATTGAGAGAAGCATAATTTTCTATGCAATGCGGAAGAAGACGAAAAATAGAGTGACCTATAAATAGACAAGAAGAGTTCCTTAAGATTGTGTCGTAAAGAATGTGCTGTACTGGCTTAGGAATAGAGTAGGCAATTTAGTAAGGCTTGTCCCACTCTTAGTTTTAGGACAGATGTGCCAGAGGACAGCCAGGATCTCAGATATGATGTGTAACATAGAATCATAGAATGGTATGGGCTGTCAGGAGGCCAGCTTGCAGGTCTGGGCCAGTGGCTCCTGCGGGAAGCAGCAAGTAGACTCTGTCCTCTTGAGAAGACTCAGGTCTTCATTGTCAACCCCATTGGTAAAACACCAGAATTTCTCCTGCCCTGAGAGCTTCCCATGTTGGCAGGAGGTGGGAGCACTTCTGAAGTGGTGTCTTCAAGGTGTTGAAGCAGAGAAGTATCTCAAGTCACTCTGCCATGACCCCTCTGACTGGAGCATGGTGTGCACTAAGAGACTTCAAAGAGCCATATACTTGGCAGAGGAAGACAGTGATGATGTGGGACCTTGAGAGACTCAGTAGTGTGGAAGACAAAAGGGCTGGCACTGAAGACAAGAAGGGCTGGCATTCGTGGCACACAGTGCCCTGACTGTGTTTTAGATAGAAGACTTAATGTTTTCTTATGTGTAACATTTTCTTACAAAAACATCTTACAGTCATCAGGGGAAACCAAACAGAACCTTTCAATTGGTACCCACTGTCATTTGACGAAAGCCAAGTATGTCACACTAGATTAGTTTGATTGAAAAACTTGTGATAAAAGCTCCTTCCACCCCTCTGAAACTAATTAAGAAAAAGATAAAAGAACTTTGGTTTGGTAGAACAGACTGTTCAGTGAAGCAAGCTGCCATTTAATTTCATGCTGAGCTTGCTTAATTACTGCACAAAATATGACCATGAGGCATGTAAACTTGTGTGTGTGTATTTTTGAATGTGGGTATGAGGCGAGGGAAAAGTGTTGCCAATATGGCTTGTAATGATCTTTTGGCTCCTGACTATAATTTCTGCAAGTTGCCTCAGTGTTTTGGTAGAACCATCCCACTATAAATAATTCTATTTAGAGGAAGATGTTAAATTGGTGCTTGTTCATGCTTTGTTCTAGAAGACCAGCTTTCACTAATGTTATTGTTCAGTTGGTTGCCAGGAATTAATCGGGGCAGTAGCCTTGGGTAGACATCTGCCTTGTGTGCCATGACTACAGGTGACATCAATGCTACAAAATTGTGACTTTGGTCAGTTGTCAGTGTGACAGTCCTCAGCCAGACTTTCTCATCTGAATGGCTTCTTCCCAGCAATAAATAGCACTAGGGACTTCTTAAGGGAGAATAAAAGGTTCAAGAAGATTATGTACCATGTCCTCATGGAAGCTTTTCCAGGCAGAGGAAGGACAAGAACACAATTGAAAACAGCCAGCATAGGTTCCTAAAGGTGGATTTGCCTGAGCAGCTCAATTGCCTTCTATAGGAGCTGCCTAGTTCTGTAGATGAAGGGCAAGCACTGGACAATGTTTACCTTGATTTTAGCAAGGTTTGCAACACAATCTCTCCTCCAATTGAAAAAAAATTGGGATGACATGGACTGGATAGGCGGACCATAAGGTTGGTGAAAACCTGACTGGCTATCAGCTCAAAGGTTAGAAGTCTAACAAGTGGCAGTCCTCAATGGCTGATACTGGGACCAATACTGCTTAAAATCTCTATCAACAACCTGGACAAAGAGACAGGATGCACCATCCTTCTGCTTTCAGATTCTAACAAATTTAGGAAAATGACTGAGATATTGGAGGGCAATACCACTGCTCAGAGTGACTGTGGCAAGCTGGAGGAGTGGGCCTGCAGGAACCTCATAAATTCAACAAAGACGGATGGAAAGTCCTGCACCTGGGATGGAATAATCCCACGCACCAGGACAGGCTAGAGACATCAAGGCAGAAAGACACTCTACAGAAAAGGACTTGTGGTCCTTGTGGAACGAGGTGAAGTGAAACGTGGCAGCAGTGTGCCATTGTAGTGATGAAGGCTCACAACGTACTTTAGCATCAGCAAAGCCAGTAGATTGAAGATGATTGTTTTCCTCTGCTCATCACTTGTGAGAGCACACCTGGAGAACTGTGTCAAATTTCGAACCCCACAGAACAAGAGAGTTACTGACAAACTGAGATAGGAAGGGAGCTGAAGCACAGGATGCACAAAGCAGGGCTAGTGGAGCTGGGTTTTTTAAAGCTGTAAAATCTCCATTCTTGGAGGTTTTCAAAACTCATCTAGACAAGGCCATAGGGAACCTGACCTAATTTTTAATGTAGCCCTGTTTTGAGCAAGGGAATTAGACTATGAAGACCTACAGATGTTCTTTCCAATCTAAGTTATTCTATGATTCTTCTCAAATTAGTCTTCTTTCCAATTGGTTGATATGCATGACTGGAAAATACTGGAAAACACTGCTGTCACTGCACAGAGGCACTGAGCCATGCGACAGCTATATATTCCCAGCTCTCCACTGACCCATATACCAGAACGCTTTCTAGCGTTTCTTCATAACTGAACAGGAGAATTGCTCTGCATTGAGGAAGGGGTGATTTTATGGCCAAAAGTTCCAAGCAGAAAAACAAAATAAAAAAATTAAAATCAGATGGATTATTGTTTGGAATTTGTACAAAACACTTTGTGGAGACAGATCAATATTCAGAAAGTTTGACTGGAACCCATCATAGCTGACAGAAGCCCTGAAGTAACTCTCTGATATCTTGCAACTCAGGTGATGGCCCACTGGACCATCTTGGAGTCAAAGACCCTAGGGCTTCAAGATTTCATGACTGTCATAGGTGAAAAGAGTTTTGGCTTACAGAGCTGTGGAGGAGCTACACAAAGAGATCACTCCAGCATTAAGGCTGATTCTCTTCTGTAAAGTATTTTTTATAGATTATATTATGTATAAATTATAGATATTCTAGATAAATTACATGTACATAATAATGAATTTTCATAAACATTCACTGTAAATTAGAAAATCTGTATTTATATTGTTTCAGTTTGATATTCTAACTCAGAAAAGCACTATTTTTCAACAACTTGCACTCTCACAAAATGGATTTAACTTTCTCCGTATCACTCTAACACAGAGCAGACTGCCTGCGAGGGTCCTGAATTCCTAAGACATGTTTCTCAGTGCCATGTATGCTGTCCTCAGTGCTCTTTTAGCAGATGCTCAGCATCAACTTTGCATTTTTCATGGGTCCGTAAATATTTAGGCTACAGCAGTGATTGATCCTCATGAGTGACTTTGTGCACAGGCCAGAGTTTCCCTCAGATCTAGAGAGCCAAAGTGCTAGGCCACTTTCTAAAGGTAACTCCACATCTTTCATGAGGAAGGACACAAAATCATGTGACAACAAGAGCTGAGAACTGGGTGCAGACTGCACACTTTAGGTTCTGGGCTGCTGGCCATGTTTAATCCTGAACTGGTGACACAGCCCTTGCAACCAGAAGCTGATGCAGTGAGGTCCTCCCGCAAGGATGAGGAAAGCCTAAATTGCTGATGTGAGCTTGTGAATAATTGAAAAACTTATTTCAACATTTCTTACCTTAATTTCCAGAACGTTTTGGTTGCCTCTTGAGATGAACACTGGCTTTTCAAAATGCTTAAATACAGGATTATTTACATAATCAAAATCAAAGTACAAAGAGCTGACACCATCAAAAACAAAGAACACTGCGGTTACAAAGGGTGGTTGGAGATTGAAGGCTTTCAGTGAAGGAGTTTTACAGCAGATTATCTCTGAGCTAGAGCGGTGGCTACATGCCTGTAAGAAAGAAAGAAAGAAAGAGGTAAATGGAGTAAATACGTGCATAGGAAGTTACTGATGAATGTAACTGTTCTTTAACAATACACATATATTGAAAAAATAAACACCAGAGGTCTTGTTCTTCTTTAAGCAAAGTGAAATCCTGATCAGTGCTACACCGCGTTTATTTAGAGACGGGAGAAAAGTATAAAAACTTCACGTCAATGGTGTTTGCGCTCTTGTTGAGGAAATGTTCAAGTAAACAAGCTTCCTGGCCTGATTGTTCACAGCACTTTTAAAGTAAATATTTTGCAGATAATTAATGGAAAATTATTTCCAAAGCCAAGGACCATCAGGAGGCTATCCTGATGTACTGAGCTGTACTGGGACACAAAGCAGCCATAATTCAGTTTATCCAGCCTATGCCCGAAGGACTGCCACATGGATTTCTCTTCCTTTTACACTACCAAAGCAATAGCAAGGGACAAGAGGAGACGGTAAAAATAGGGCCAATGAATCTGACTGAAACAGAAGTTTCAGGCTTCATGCCTGTTCTAACTGAAACAGGTGTGAAGCCATGCTTGCCTCTCCTTCTGCTGTTATTCCTCATGAGGGCCTGCTCTAGATGTGCTTCCTTGAGGAAAGCTGCTAGTTCACCCTATAATTTAGAAGACCTGTGAGAGCATGCTTTGTGCTGGGGGAGTGTGATCCAGTATGAAATGTCTAGCTAGGCTGCTTCCCTCTATCCCATACTGCCTTGACACGGGACTGATGAGACAGACATGACAGATCCAGGTCCTTCCTAAAAGGATTGCTGTGTTGCAAGCAAGGGCAGCAGGGGTTTGCAGGCATCCTGATCTGGGTTTAGGCAGTTTGCAGGGATAACGTGAATTCTTGTGGATGGGATTCATCCAGCCTGCATCCAGACACCTGTATTGGAATTAGTTTTCTAAACTCCATTTACAGTCAACAGAAGGAAACAGGCTCACCTAGAGCGGGATTCAGCTGATCTGTTTTAGACAACAGCTTTAATTAGATTAACGGTGCTCTAGAAGGGTCGACTTCTCTCTCTTGACTGTGAAGGTTTCTACATGACTAATTTGATTATAATGTCAACAGCACATCCGCAAGCATCGATGGGAGGCACAGTGGGTGCTGGGCAGCATCACGCAAACTGCAGAGGGGCTTGTTTGTGATTGGGTCATGTCCTCCCTTCACTGTGCCTCCCTTTCATGCTGCCTACTGTGGATATGGTTGAAGGACTTCTGGCACAAACAGAGTTGCTTTACCTCCACAGAAGTATTTAACTGTATAAACCTTCTATAAGTAGTTCCCTATACACTGTGCCCTGACAGCAGAGATTACACTTTCTTTTTTTTTTTTTTTTTTTTTTTTTTTCATAAATAGAGTGTCTGACATGTGGCCAAGTAAGAATGGGATTTATCTCCCAGTCATCATAACTCTTACATTTGTTCTATAAGAAATTTCCCTGGAAAACCAACAGTGCTGCTGAATACCTTTGTGCATCTAGAGAAGGCCAAAAAAAAATATTTTCCTGTTTCGTTTTTCAAATTAAATTGGTTCTCATTATAATGCACTGCCCAAAGGAGCTGTGAAATTAGTATCTATTGTCTCTAATATGCTAAATTAATGCAATATAATTTTGCTGTGTTCCAAATCAATGACAAAACTGTGCTAGGTCTATCAGTTATATACTTGCATTAGCTTGAAAAGTGGGATTAAATTAGCTATCTACAAATCAGCACTTTTTCTTATCATGTTTCTGTGCCTAATGTAAAATCTTGAATCTGCCAAGGGAAACATTTTCAAGGCTCTGAAACAGAGTACTAGAGCTCTGCTACAAGGGTTACATATCTGTGAGCTGCGAGTTCTGCACTCAGTTGAATAACTTGGTGCAGCTCTCGGTGATGTTAATTGGACTTGCACCTGTGTAACTAACAGCCCCTTTAGATTCCTAGCAGAAATTCAGAAATATTTATGCATCCCCCATGACAACAAGGTAATCTGTGGGACACAAGACAAGGCAGAATTTTGCTCCATTTGTTTACAATATTAGACTGTTCTTTCTCTTTTGAATACCTTGTTATACACCATTTACCATATCTCAGGCTTTGTTATATCACATGGATCTAGAAATCCATTTGAATCAGTACGGTAACAGTAAGATGGATCATTAGTATAATTTATGATCAAGCCATACTTTTCCATGATATATGAATACATATAAAGATATCTATCATATTGTGTCAATTCTAAAAAAAAAAAACAAACCTAAAATATATATAATTATAAAACCAAATATGTCCTAGGTAATCATTATATTTATCTGATTAATGTAAATTCATTAGACTTTTTATCTACTGTAGAGTAGTGATGTCCCTTAAATGAATAGCAGTGGTATTCATAACTTTGTTTGTGGCTATCTATTAGAATCAGATACTTTACTTTATCAGGCTAGTCTCTGAAGAGGAAGCTTTCAGAAAATGATAAAAATCTAATAATACTCTTTGGAGGGGATGCAATGTGACTGATTGGTAAGGTCAAGAAAAATCTTATTTGCAATGCCCTTATTGGTACATGATTTGACATGACATTTTTACCTTGAAATTGGTTTTAGCAATTGAAGAATATGATGGTTTAGTTTTCAAGAAATATTGGATTGAGGATCTATAAGAAAAAAACCCTAATTCAATCTATTGCCTTCTCAATTAAGATACTGCCTATCACCCAGCACCTTTAACTTTTATTTAATTAGGCTTTAAAGTCCATTCACTTTAAAAGCTAAGCCCACATTCTTCTTGTGACTATAATCTACAACTGAAGACAATAAGGAAGAAAAGATGTAAAAATTATAGAACATTTCACAAGCATAAGTAAATACTATACCCCAGAGGGAATAATAATAATCCATTGCACAATGCATATGACTCATCACTTAAAGGTATGTATTCTTGTTTCATTTGTAAAATATGACCCTTGAGGCAATTAATTCAAACCTGACCTACAGAATCTGAACTTTGGTGCCCAATTCAATATTTTTTCATCTGATAGAACAACAGGAAAAGTATGAGGGAGGATGTCTGAGCTCCCAGCAGCTGACCCAGATAAGAAAGGGGCAATTGGATGTGTATTACAGCATCTGTAGCAGTCAGAAGGGAGAAAAAGGACAATTTTTCCTTTCATAAAAAGTAAAATTTTAGAGTTCCAGTGAGGAAGGAGAGATGAATGAGGTTAAAAGCAGACTGGGAGACTCTCCAACCATCTTTGCCAAAGGATGATTTCTCAATAGAAAGAAATGAAAATTCAGGTCCAACTTGAGGAAAGCTCATTCAGAAGGCTTTTCTGTGTAGGTGAGAAACGGAGCATAGGCACTCAAGAAGGATATCTTGAATATTTTTCAGAGAACTCACTGACTTTAGCTGCCACTTCAGGTAGTGCAATGAATGGTGCTAATAGATTGGTAGCATTTTTATTCTAGTTGTCTTCTTGGATGAAGGTATGGGAGATGATACTTCCAGTCTATCAGATCATTGGACCAGAAGGTAGAGTAAAACCTCTCTTCCTCCTGGGTCTGACAGTCCTTTGCACAACATGACCAACACTGTCTGGGAATCTAAATTCCTCCCTGGGCTTGGGATGGTCAATATAGCTGCTAGCATCACACAACCCTAGCACCCCCATGATTTCACAGCGTGCGCTTTTCCCTGACACCCCTTGCTGCAGGCTTTCCTTGACAGGATATATGCATGAGATGCAGATTCAGCACAGAAAGAAAGGCCAATGGTTCCCCTCTGTGAAGGAAACTCCTTGCTGGGCTTCTGTGGCAGCTTTATGCCACAGAGTCAACATAGATAGAGGCTCCAACCCTAAGTGTCTTTGGACAGGTAGTCAGGAATATCTTCAATAATCACATGCTTACCATCCACAGTTTCCAGGAAATTTCTTCTATCATTATTTAATAAATCTAAGGTAGACGCTTGCAGGTGAATTCTAGGCATTTTTGATAAGTATTATGAGCATGGATTTTTCATGGACTTGTAAACATTGAAGGAACTTCAGAGTATTTAAAAATTCTCCTCTAATACATCAGGAAATAGCATCTAGCAGGGAGCAATTAAGAAATGCTAAAGATCATTCAAGAGACTACTTACTGGAGAGATAATTAAAAGTCTGTGGAAAGAGATGATCTTGCATAGCTACAGGGTCAGTTGTTGAAGGTCGTGCATTAAAAGGTGCTTCTCCCAAATTTTTCAACCTTGCATATCTTGGGACATTAATGGTTAGAAGAACTTAAGCAGTGGGAATATATATCCAAATTAGTTAATATTAAAGATGCTACAGCAAAGGAACCATGAATGACCACTTCTTCACTATTGCAGAATCAATACAAAGTACAGGTTTTCAAAGCAAAATATTGGTCTCATGTGCTTCAGAAGCAGAAGAATCATATAGCACAACTTATAGCAGACGTTAGAGGACACTTATTTTGGAAACAGGCCCCTGATCAAACACCATTCCAAACTGTGCAAAGGTTTTTACAGGTACAATGCAAAGTGAAAGGAAGGAACGAGCTGCTTCCCTCCTTGTGCACCTCACAGAGGAACTGAACATGTGAGCAGAAGTGAGAGGGTTTGTGTACCCTTATGCATTATCTAGAGCTGTTGGGAATTTATGCAGCACTGCCTAAATTAATATTTTTTATTCCTAGTCAGAACAAATGGTCAAAAGAACTCATGAAATAGAAATTTTAAAAAACCCCACATTGCAAGTATTGAAACATATGGTTCAATAGCTCTAGGACATTTTTTCCACTCGTTGAAATACCAGATTCAAAGAAGGCAAAATGTATTATTTTGATAGTGTTAACACAGAACGTAATATAAAAACAACTAGTGTGAACATAGTATTGAATAATTTTAAGGAAATTTAAGTAAATATGAAATGAAAATGATAAAGTTGAAGCAAGTCATTTTTGCCTTAAAGAAGAAAAAGTTTAAAAAAGAGTGAACTTCAAATATGAAAGCTGAAAAGCTCAACTTAAATGTTTCTTCTATAGGGGGCTGACATATTGCACCCAAAACTTTTCAGTCTCAGTGAAACTGCATTTCTTATGGGGTTGTTCCAGAAAAAATTCTTGTACCAGTTGTACCACTCATCTCTTCCACCAGGATAGAAAGAAACAAGCAGAGAAGAGCAAACACCCCAGGGCATGTGAGCTGTCTCTGCTCCTTGAGCCTTTGGGATGCAGAACATCCTCAACAGCCCCTGCTACTCACAAAAGTGACCCTCTGCTCCCACTGCGACTCCATCAGGGCTATAGGCCACAATTAAGCCTAAGGGAGTGAATTAAGGGCTTCATAAGGACAGATAGGTGACAGGAAAAGGTGAGACCTCTTTTAAATCGAGCACCACCAGTTTTAGGCAAATGGAGAGGGTATGGGATGTGGCAGAAAGAATGAGCAGAGCTCTAGGAAACAACACTTATCAGGAGAATTTGGAATGTTTTGGTTTGTTTTAATTGGAAAGAGAAAGGTTGTATCACAAGGTAGTGCAAATACATAAAATTAGCAGGAGAGACCAGTAATCTGTTGTTTGTGTCCACTAAGGGTTAAAAAAGAAGATAGCTAATTAGCAGCTAGGATTTGGGTTAATTATTAGAAAGAACTCTTTCCAAACCACTCGGTAAGCAGGTAGAGCAGCTCTCTCCAAAGCTTGTTTAAGCAAGGTTGTGAAATCTCTTTCACAGGGAGCTTTAATAACAGCCTGGACAAATATCTATTAGGCAGTGGTCTGGCCACATTTGCTCCTGCCGCAGGGAAGTGGGCCAGGCTAGGTCTTTGTGGTCCCTCCCAGCTGTACGTTCCTTTGATTCTGTGGGATGTGTTTCAGTGCTGGCTTTGGTTTTCCCAAGAGTCAGAGTTTCTGAATGCTGACAAAAGCAGCTTCTTGGTGGAGGCTGGTGAGAGAAAACTGAAAAGAAAAATTACTTAAATAACAATTAAAAAATGACTCAGTTAGCTCTCCTCTCCCAGATTAAGGAAGCAAAAAGATATATAACCTCAGCTATAGGACTTCTCGATCATTTTGTTTTGTATTGTACTGTTTGTCTGGGTTTGGTCTGTTCAGGAACACAACCTCTTTTCTCCTTTATAAATGGGATAGCTGGTCAATGAAGTGTTTTGGATCCATGCTAGAAAGAGTTCCTCATTGTTGTTTATTTTGGTAATAACTGAATGAAATTTTGTTTTTTTGGCATATTGCTCATGCATAGGGCCCAGAATCTCCAGCGCAGGATGGGACAGGCTGCAGCCATAGGCATTCTCCGCCAGCAATTTCCTCAGTTACACACTGCAATCTTGTTTTGCCAGTTATAAATCTTCCCCTTCTCCTTGAGAACAAATATCCTTCCTTCAGAAATAAGCTTGAGTTAGAGACCAGCGGCAGAACAAATGGCACGCAGAGCTGGGCTGCTGCAGAGGCAGGGAAAGCCACCAAGTGCCAGAAGCCTTTAATTTCAGTAGAGCAAAACATATTACATGGGCAGTGTCAGAGTATAAAACACTCTGGATTATAATCTCTTTGAGGGTATATTCCAGCCTTTGTGCAGGGAGAATGAACTTGTGAACAGCTGCTTTTACACTGGGGCAGATTCTTAGACATCAGCAGTGGTAGGGGACAGATATCCTGATGGAAAAGGAGGGTCAGACCTGCCTCTTCTTGTGTGTTGGCAAATATCATGTGCACTGCAAGGTATGGAAAGAAAAAGAATAAGGGAGATAATTCTGACTGTCTACGTCCATGTCTTTTTTCAATAGCAGGTTAAAAGGCAGGATGGCAGCAAACCACTATTCAAAGGAAAGATTGCTCCCCGATATTTGGGGAAGAGAGTAAACACTACAGTGATCATTGTCTGTAGCTCCCAGTCACTTCTGGACAGTGAATTTAGTTCTTTAAAAGTTCAGATTCTTTAAAATCTGTTCAATTTCTGAGGATATGCCAAATATTTGACAAGCAAGGTACGTAGAATCAGGGCCTAAAGAGAAGCAATATTGTATATTCTCACAGGGGAACAGAGAAAGCAAGTAAATTATCTTTACTTCAAAAGAAAGACCACTCAAATCCATACAAAGCAAAATCTAAGGTCTGATTTAAACAATGATCTTTTCTCCCGGGCTGCATCAAAAGAAGCTTGACCAGCAGGTGGAGGGAGGTGATTCTCCCCCTGTACTCTGCTCTTGTAAGGCCCCAGCTGGAGTACTGCGTCCAGTTTTGGAGCCCCCAACACAAGAGAGACAGGGACCAGTTAGAACAAGTCCAGAGGAGGCCACCAGGATGATCCGAGGGCTGGAGCACCTCTCCTGTGAGGACAGGCTGAGAGAGTTGGGGCTGTTCAGCCTGGAAAAGAGAAGGCTCCTGGGAGATCTTATCGTGGCCTTCCAGGACCTGAAGGGGACCTACAAGAAAGCTGGGGAGGGACTTTTCATAAGGGCAGTTAATGACAGAACAAGGCGTAATGGCTTTAAGCTGAAAGAGGGTACATTTAGATTAGATATTAGGAAGAAATTCTTGACTATGAGGGAGGTGAGACACTGGAACAGGTTGCCCAAGGAAGTTGTAGATGCCCCCTCCCTGGAAGTGTTGAAGGCCAGGCTGGATGGGGCTTTGAGGAACCTGGTCTAGTGGAAGGTGTCCCTGCTGATAGCAGGGGGCTTAGAACTAGGTGATCTTTAAGGTCCCTTCCAACCCAAACCATTCTGTGATTCTGTGATCTTTTCTTGGGGAATCTTTTGTACTTAAAAATAATCATGCCCACATTACTTAAAACCTAAGAAATTTTGAGTTTGGTTGATTTCACTGAAATGTTTTGCTTTCAGACTCATGGGTAAAATGTCTTTTTGATAACACTGAGCACTGTCTTTCATTGCAAAGGCACTGATTTTCAGATCAAAATCTGAACCCATTAAATTACAAGCCACGATTATATCCAGCTGAAATTCAGGTCCCGACACTCATAATGTTATACAAATTAGGATAATGAAGAATATTATGACCTTGAGGCTATAAAAGACTGCAAATTTGCAGACATACCATTTAAAACCTAGGTCTAATATTTAGAATTCAATACAGGAAATAGTGTATGATTATCATTAGAAATAAGCTGAGAATATGAGCAGTAGCATAGCATGTCATAAAGAGTGTAGGCTAATTTACTTCAATTAGGCTAAATAAACCTTACAGGATAAGAAAATGTTGGAGGTGCAACATAAATGTGTGGGCAAAAGCTTACAAGAAACAGTTTCAGTACAACTAGCCAATAAATGTCATCTTTGCCTTATAAAAAATAAAGTAGATCACATAGTCATATCTGATCATCTTATTTAGATTTAGACACTCTGTCTTATCAACTCAGGTAACAAAAGAAGGCTCAGATCCCTGACTGACCCTCTGTTCATGCAGAGATACCCAACTGCAAAAGCCTAAACCTCTCTTAAAACTTAGTTGCTGAACTTTGGTAAGTTAGGAAAGATCACAGAATCGTAGGGATTGGAAGGGACCTCAGGAGATCATCCAGTCCAACCCCCCTGGCAAAGCAGGTTCCCTACAACAGGCTGCACAGGAAAGTGTCCAGGTGCGTTTTGAACATCTCCAGAGATGAAGACTCCACAACCTCTCTGGGCAGCCTGTTCCAGTGCTCTGTCACCCTCACAGTAAGGAAGTTTTTTCTTAGGTTTGTATGGAACTTTGGTGTTCCAGTTTTTCCTCATTGCCCCTTGTCCTGTCACAGGGTACTACTGAAAAGACCCTGGCCCCATCCATTTGGCCCCTGCACTTCAGGTATTTATAGACATTGATAAGATCCCCTCTCAGTCTTCTGTTCTCCAGGCTGAAGAGTCCCAGCTCTCTCAGCCTCTTCTCATATGGGAGATGTTCCAGGCCCCTAATCACCTCTGCGGCCCTCCACTGGACTCTTTCCAGAAGATCCCTGTCTGTCTTGAACTGAGGAGCCCAGAACTGGACGCAGTAGTCCAGATGTGGCCTCACCAGGGCAGAGTAGAGGGGGTGGAGAACCTCCCTCAACCTGTTGGCCACACTCTTTTTAATGCACCCCAGGACACTGTTGGCCTTCCTGGCCACAAGGGCACACTGCTGGCTCATGGCCAGCCTGCTGCCCACCAGCACACCCAGGTCCCTTTCCACAGAGCTCCTCTCCAGCAGGTCAGCTCCTAACCTGTACTGGTGCATGAGGTTATTCCTCCCCAGGTGAAGGACTCTACTGGGGAAGATTTGCCCCAATAGGTAAATTGGCAATCAGTTCTTCAAAATAATACTTACTTCTGATTTTGCATACTTACTTTTCCTCTTTCTTTGATGCTTGTTCAATTTTCCTTTTATATCCACAGTCACCATTGGAATATATTTCCTACCTATCACGGTAGCACTTGAACTTGACGCGTAATCTGACACACCTGTGTTGCACTGTTCTGTGTTTAGTCACTGAATTTGCATTGTTAATTTGAAATATAAAAATCTTGTTATCAGATACTACAAAAGCCTTATTTCTTTGCAAGAGGTTCCTTGGAAACTGTTGTTCTCTCCCCAGCTTAATTTCAAATATGTTGTTGGGTTTTTCAGAAAACACCAAAATGTCAGTGGAAGCCCCAGAATTTCAAAGCAAAAATCAAAGTATTTTGACTAAAAATTCTATGTCATTCACCACATGAAGATGACAAGATAACAGATTGTCTTCTCCAAGACTGACTCACCACAGAGAAGTTCATTCCAAGTTTAGGTACAGTAATCACCATCTCAGGAAAACACACTGAGTTCAAGTTGATTCCCTGAGCTGTGATGGTACTTCCACCACTAGGAAAAATTAAAAATTAAAAAAAAAAAAAAAAGATGAGTTGGATAATGACACAGCTGCTATGGTAATCTTAGTTACAAATTATATTCTAGAGTAAATGACAACACAACACCAAAATTAGGGATATATGAGGTGAATGCAAATACATAGCTCTGAGCAGTGACATTATTTTTCTGGAAAAGAAATTTTACACTTGCTCTAACAAATAACCAAATATGAGAAAAGAAAAATAAAAATTGTGGCATGCCAGGATATAAAACAAATGTGTACATTTTAAAGAAGGGTTTATACTTGTACTCAGCATTTGCTAACTTAACTTACTGCTTTCAGTGGTGCTGAAAAAGGTGCATTTTTTAATGCTGACATTTTTTTGGCAAAGGCAGATGGCTTGGATTAGAGCTACTGAGACCATAAATATGTCACTTAAAAGCACACACATACTACCATACATATATATTCATAATATTTATGTAGCGCTGGATTTAGACTGTTTTAAAATCCATTTGCTCTCCTGAGTAGCGCTGACTTGTCACATTAAATGATTTTTCTCACTAATCAGTGTAATGTCCAGGCACAGTATAGGAGACACACTTAGCTGTACAGTAGGTATCTCAGCACGACATCACAGGTACGCTCAGCAGCAGCTAGGAGTTAAATCACATAAAGAAAAGAGGCACCCTTCCCCCCTCTCCTTCACCTCTGAAAGGAAATGATCTGCCCTCTGCAACTGCACCATAATAGAAGCAATTGGCATGGCAGATAGAGATAAAAATGCAATTTCTTTTGATAGATTGCTGCACAGTGTAGCTGTTCTTCTTTCATTCATTACTTTTCTGATTTCTATAAGAAACTTTTACTCACCTAAGAAAAGATTTGGCTGGATGAATTTTTAAAACAACAGGGTCTCCTCTGTACGTGAAATGACCGCTCGCATCTCGAATAGCTTCATCGATTCCCATCCTCACACGATATTCCTGGGGAATTTGCTGTGCTGGAGTGTAGCACTCCACAGTGCTTGCTGATACACTGGAAGGACAGAAAAGGGCTTGCTTGCCAGCTTTACAAAACATGTAGTCAGTTTAAAATGGTGTCCCTTAGTGAACCCCAACCCCACTTAAGGATCTGCTTGTAAAAAAATGTCATTGATTCCCACACTGGATGATCATAATGCAACAAATAAGAATGGTGTGAGATAGAAACAGCAACACCACTGCTTAGGTTCAAGACTCATCTTAATTTCATTGCCTCGCACCTTGCCAGGCGTGTTTCCCCAGCATTGGCAACAGCCAGATCAGCCCCTGCCCCTTGCAAAGGCAGCTTCCAGCCTGGGAAAGGACAGCGTGCTCCAGGTTTAAGCAGCATGACTTGTTCTGCTGTAACCAAGGGATAATGTCTTTCTCTTTCAAATCCCCAGGATTTACTCTGTGTTAAAAACTTCAAGAAAAGGTGCTGGTGGTGGATGTACCAGTATGTCAGATATGTCCTGCCCTGGGGGCACCTGCTGACCACAAGTGCTGCTGAGGGGCAAGCAGAATGCAAGGAGAAAGGAGGAGAAGGTGGCTGAATTCAGCACAGCAGCAGAGTTTCTGGGATATTCACCCTTCCCTTGCTCTCTCATGCTTGGCCCTGGAAGTCCTCCTCCTACACTGAGCTGAGTTGGTGAGTGGGCAGTGGAGGGGTGAAGGATCCTGAAGCTTGAAGCACATGAAGTGTGGCCTCAGGAAGCAGGGCACATCAGAGGCAAGGTTAACAACTGATTGGAGAAGAGCAAATGTAACTCTACCAGATGGTTTCAGTAATTTGGGCCAAACACATTCAGGAGCCCTTCAGGTGAGTCCGTTCTCAAAGGTTGTGAGAGATTGTTTCCAAATTAGATAAAAGGGGCATTTGCTGCTACTTCTGAAGCTTTCCAGGAAGTTGGGGTTCACTGTGTGCTGTAGGGGTTAGTGATTCATTCAGATGCACCTGGGAGCTTTTTACCATCTTTTAAAGGCAAAAAAACCCCAAAACCTTTGATCTAGCTGCCCTCAGAACTAGGGAGAGATACCAGTTTAGGTAGAGAAATACCTGCCCTGAGAAATTGGCTAAGACCTGTGTAGAAGTTTCCAGACAACTTAGCTGGTGAGAAAGAGGGGTGCTGCAGATGCTTACTGCATAAGCCTCAACTATGGTTTGATACCTGGCCAAAGCAGACATCTGCCTCTGAGCTGGCTGTCATCTCATCCCCACAGTAGATGTCTCAAATGGATCAGATGAATCATTCTCAAAAGGTTTTTATATTTGTCCATTAGTTGACCAGCTGAGATGATGACATCAATAAATGCCACCCTAAACTATTAAGTAGCCACTGAACAGAAGTGTTGAAGGTCTTGGTAGTGATTAAATATCAGACTTGAATACCTAAATCCCTTTCTCAATTTAGTCAGACTTAGCTGATTTGATCAAGAGCATACAATAAATCATTTAGCATTGAAGAATAAAAATTAGCTCTCCTGACTTCGAGTCTGATGTTGACTAATAGGCTATTGCTTCCTCACGTTCTCCCCACGTGTGATGTTTCACGAATACAACTTTCATAATCATTCAGAGAGGCTCAAAATTTAGAGGAACTGCTGGACATCTGGTTCCTGGAACACAGTGGACCAGATTCTGCCCTTGACTGCAGAGGTGACAAATTTGGAGCCACCCTGCTGTACTTGAAAACAGGACCAAGATTTGCACCATGGTAGAATGTCCACCAAATACAGAATGCTTGTCTGCCCATAGCAGAGAATCTGTGCTTGAATTTAACATTCATATTCAGCTGGGATTGAAGGCATTTCCACACAGAGCATGTCAAAGATTCTTGACTGAGCTCCTACTGGATCCAGTACAGAGACACAAGAAATTCTGTATTAATCCTCAAAACAATTTTATATATAGCAGGAAAAGTTCCCAACTGTTGCTGCCTCTGGTTTGGAGGCTGTTCACTGATAGCAGTGCAGAAATAGCTGCTCCTCTGCATGGGATACACATTCCCACGCTGCTCAGGTTTCCACTGATCAAACCAGTAGGAAAAAGTAACCTGCACGCACTGGACATTCACTGGGAGCTGCTGCATGAACAGCAGCTCTTGCTAATACAAGAGAGAGGGCTGAGTGTGTGGGAGTCGAAGTGACAAAAATGATGTGAAATGGGCAGCTTCTAGTCCATTAGAAGCTGATTTGCTACTTCTTTATGCAACCTTTTAATGAGGTTAATGAAGGTATTACAGAATAAACATGTCTTCTAGGGAACTGTAGTCCCTTCTAGGAACCTTTCAGACATCCTGAAGTCAGGATGTAATCCAGAACTAAATGCTTATTACAGTGTTAATTCTCCAATATGTAACACGAGGACAGGAGACCAATGCATGTTTGTGGCTTTTTTTTGGTTTTTACTCCAAGACACTGTAATCAAGCCATTTCAGTATTGAAAATCATAACTTTTTAGTAAGTATATTACCTTTTCAAGGTGCATGGTTTCTCACCAACAAAAATCCTTCTGGATTTTCCACTGTTTAGGTATTTTCCAGCTACAGTTAGCAATGTTCCTCCAGATTTGGGGCCATAGGTGGGAGAGATACTTGTTATTACAGGATTCTGAGAGGAGGTAAAAATAAGAACAGTGGATTGTTAAATTATTTTCAAAATGTGAAGAGGAAGAATCTTAAAAACATTTATTAGCATTTCCATGAAGTAATAATAAAACAAACAGGAATATAGAATTACCATACTGGATTGGACTCATGAGGAGTCTTCTTCCAGTTAACATTGAATAAAGTTCACAGTGCTTACCACGTATGAAAATGTATTGAATAGTGTTTTGCCATGTCCAACAGAAACACTACTGGATATATTAAAACTTGGATTTTTTGCAGCAGGAACTGTGCATTCCAGCCTTTGGAAAACAAGGAAAAACATGGGATTACACTATTTTTTCTGGCTTTATTTTTTGCATTAAAATAGAACCACATCAAACTCGTAATAATGCAGGATCCATACTAAACAAATCATCAACCTATGCGCGCCAGGAACATTTCAGAAAGAACAGCTAAAAGAACTGTGGTCACCTTCTTTAATACTAAATACAAACACTGCGGTGTTTATACTTGGCCAGATAAAATAATTTTAGTATACCAAATATATTTCACCAAAAAAAGAAGCATGCTAGAGGAAACAAATACCTCCCATTCAATGGCTGAGTTGTTTTTTGGAATTTTCCTTTAGTGCCAAATTTTGGCAGACAACAGGTTTAGAAAAAATGCATCATATACACATTTGTTGTGTAAATTTAAATATCACCAAAAATTAAATTTTAACTTCTGTGGCAGCATGTGTCAATGTATTATGTTGTCTTTACACAGTCTCATATATGAGCTAATCTCCTTAAATCCTTTTTTTTTTTTGCATTAAGCCTGTTCAGAGTAGCAGTTAAGAGAATGCTCAATAGTTCTGGAGGGTGACCTCTTTGCTGCTGTATATATGAATAGGGAAGCCATGCCATGATTTGCACATTGCTTTGGCATTAGATAGTCATATGTTTTGAACTGAGAGAGGATATTCATTGAACTTCCTATTTTTTCAAGGTAACAGCCAGAATAACCTCTGTCTTAAACTTAAGCCATTATTCTACTGAATCAAATACCTATTTCTGAGGAGGAGGAGGAGAGGTGCATCTGAGGGTCACAAGCCTCTGGATGACAAAATACCTGCATCTTCTCATATTTCTCTCCAGCAGCTTCACAGATCAGGAAGATGGAGGTGACATAAGAGTCCAGCAGGATCCTGGCCAAAGGAACCTGCCCCCTTTTCAAACCTTTGAACAGTTTCATATTGCCAGCTCCCACAGATGTTGAACAGCATTTCACAGACAAACCAGAAAAAGCTGCTGCAGGAGCTATCACCATTAACTAGATTTATTTGATCTTGATTACAAGCACCTTTTATTGGGGAGCATATCAAACCAAAGAATTGTCTCCTGTTTGAAATTTCAGAATCAGAGATGAAACTTAAAGACTGAATGTTTATATTGTAAAAAAATCCATACCACATACAGAACACCTGTATAAAAGGAAATTAATATTTTAGGTTTCTTACTTGTTTTTGTTGCTAAATTTTGCTGCCAGAGCACAAACTTTTCCTCCAATATGGACTACTGTATTTTTTAATTCAAATCTATTATTTTTGCTGAATCCAAAGTCCCATCCACACAGTGTCAGTTTTGTTCCACCTTCTAAGGGAGCACTGCTCGGGAAAATCTGTAAAAAAATATTGTGTTAGTTACATGAGGTTTTCTTGAACTTCAAATAGAGTTACAGAATGTGCAAAGGAATAATTTTAGAAAAGTATTTCTTCTGGTAGACTACGTCCTACCATTCATCTTAATTGTTCTTCACCTTTCATTTGTCACATTATGAGCTTTCTCTGACAGTAGCAATAAATAACAAAACCTATACTAGAAAGCTTGAAAGGATAGTGTTTAGGGGCACTGAACAAGCTGTGCATTGTAACAGTCTTTTAAATCCTGTCGTTCTTGTCTTTCACATCTTATTTCTGGCATGTTAAACATACAATGTACTTATTTTGTTAGAAGCTGAATGCTGAACATAAAAAAGCCCCAAAATGACCATTTTTTGTCAGTTTGATGAAAGTGAAGTAGCTTCAAAGACACCATAATCCGACATCGAGTTGGCTGTGATAAAGTTAACGTGACTTCTGCTATTCTTTCCTTAAATCTTTTACATTTGGTCACCTCTAATTCCAAGTTAAAAATAAACCACCCCTCAGAAACACAGAGACAATCTACAAAGGAAATGTGTTTTTTTTTTTCTTTCTGTATATTGTAAATTGTCCTGTAAAATATAACAATGGTGGGAAAAAATGTAGGAACACTATAGAAGTCTTACAAAACTCAGTAAAAGTATTGGTTAGTACCACCAGTAAAAAAGAAAGAAAAAAAAGATACTGGTTTTGGGTTTATGGGGACTTTTAACAATACGGCATAATTTTGCAAACATAGCAGTATCACTGGACAAACAACAGAGAATGAAAAACTAAATTTATACTTGTGGTCACAGTGCCTAAATGTCTTAGACTTAATACTTTAGTGATAGTAATTTTGCCCCTAAAATGCAATACAGATGTGCCTTTCAAAGGACCTGAATTAATTTTCAAGCTGAAAGGCAAGTGTTTGAGAGATACTTGGCTATTATTTCATCCGGAAATCCAGTAAGACATCAGATTTCTTTTCAACTCTCTTGTAGTTATACTTCAAGACTTCTCATAAATGAATTATTGTAGATAGAAAGGCAGCTGAAGAATACTTCGAAAGAATTATACCATATATTCTATATGGGGAAATTTATTGCCCCCATTAGAAACCAGACAAAGAGTCTGAACTAAAATGCACTGAAGCTAGTGGGAATCTTTTCTGTTTTAATCAGCTTTGAATCAGCTCTCAATGAGCAAAGAGAAGGGAACCTATGCAGGAACAGTATTTTTGCACAAATCCCATAAAAAAGGAGTGATGCTTGCACAGCCTCTTGAGACACATCACTGCAGCCAAGAGTGTGGAGCAGTACTGTATCCCGTGGAGTCTCTGCTATTCTCAAGTTTAACTTTCCCTGATTTCTTTGTTTTTTTCTTCAAAATCTGGATTGACTTCAGATCCTAGTTCTCCACTCTACTTAAAATCTCAGCACACCATCTATTTTTGGAGTAACAAAACCCTAGCAGAAACTGAAATTGCTCTGTGGGGGTACAGGATGTCTCATGTTTTGTACAATAATGTATTGACGTATGACATCTGAAGAGTCTGAAATGTAATCCATAAGTTAGCAAAATAAGGGTGTTAAAATCAGTCTTCACAAAGCCATATAGAATAAAAACCGAAGGCACTTAACTGGTTTTGAGTGATCTTATCTGCCAAAAGAGACTTATAGCAGCCAATATGCCTTAATTGAGGGAGAGTGGAAGTATTTACTACATTCTGCCAGCAAATTTAGGAGGCAAGACTTTTAAGTAGATAATAAAAAATAAACCAAATCTTATACTTTTTAATTTGAATTCTACAGAAATTTCCCCAGAGTGTTTTTATTAATTTCTTTATTTTTATTCCACCTGTTCTGTACAACGAAACTACTGAAAGTCAAACGTCGTTTTGCAGACCTTTTCTTGGGAGAGTCGACAGGAATGAACAGCAAACCTCCTGGACTTTGAACTGAGGCATACGTAAGCATCTTCTGTGTGCTTACACCACACAGGGAGTAACAGAAAGTAAGCAAAACCCAAATCAGTTATAAATGCTGTGAAATTTAGGATTTGAAAGTTCTCTACAGCAAGGAAACTCCACTGACAAGATGGAGTAAGTCCTGCTTGCAAGGCCTAATGTTCTGCTTCTCCTGCTGCTCTCCAGACTTTGGGTTAAGGGAGAGAAAGTTAACTGTTCTTTTTGAAAAAATGTAAGGTATTGTGTTTTTCTTTTGTTTATGTTGACAGCCATTATGCTAATATCCACTCACATACTTTATAAATTGTTGGAAGAAAGTATATATTTATTAAGGTTTCAACAGCCCATTCACTTTAATTAAGAGGCAGGAACATGTACAGGCCACATGTGAAATTTACAGCAAAACCTCCAACCTAAACAGGCAGCAGAAGGCCTGACATTCTTGATATGTCTGAGATAAAAGCCAGCTAAAATGACTTACTTTAAAAACAACAACAAACCATGTCAGGTTTTTAACCACAACAAAGAATCAACAGGGAGACCAATTTATTTCTTCTTTTACGCCGTTCACCTTTCAGCACGACCTGAACGTCGCACGCAGATGCCCACAATTTGTTCCAGCACCAAGTGATCTCTGAGGAACCTTCTCTGAGTTCCCCAGCTTTCCTCTAGCACCGCCTGTCCCGGCAGACGCAACACGCCTGGCTGGTGGCAGCGGCGGTGGATGGAGTGGGGTAGGGTGCTGAGGCGAGGGGTGGCAGCTGGGCTGTGGTGGGGACGTGTCCTGGCACCAGCCCTGCCGTGCTGCCCGGTGCTGGGGGGATGCCCGGGCAGAGCTGGAGGTCTGTGCTCCTCACTGGGCTGGGGTGCAGGGCTGTTCCCTGCCACCCACGCTCCAGGGACAAGTGCTTAAAGCATGGCAGAGAGACAAAGGATCTGCAGGACTCCATGGGAAAAAGCTGCATTTTTTTCTCTGTCATCCCTCATGAGGGGAAATTTTTTTTTTTTTTTTTTTCATTACACACCACCACTCTGCGTAATAACCTGGGAAAACTTTGTTGGAGACTTAGTTAATGTCCGTTGGACTCGATTCTCAGACAAGCTTTGTGTAACCCTCTGGTTAAAATGATTGTATGACATATCTCAAGCAATCTGTCCCTCTGAAAGCTGCAAAATACTGGGGTGGGTTTCAACTGAATTTCAGATACTATGCAATGCAGGTCATCCTCTGTTTGTCAGGAACAAAACAAGCTTGTTTCTCATATTTTATGCATATGGGTTTAAAGACAGATCAGAAGATGATGAATAATCTGGTTTATATTTTTTTTCAGTAATAATGTTAAATGCCATGGTCCAGTAGAGCATGAAATTTGTCTTAACAGCTAGCAATCCGAAGAGATTTAAGCACTCAGCTGCATTTTTTTTTCCTTACAAGTCTTCTAGAAGCAACTTCTACCAATGTGGGCATGCTGTAATTCGAGATTCACTTTAAGATCCATCAGTGCCACAGATCCATATTCATTACAGGGGTAGACTGAGCTTGTGCTGAGCAGGCAGGGCTGAGCCACATGGGGAAGGGGAACACCCAGCCAGCCCCATGCCTGCTCCCACTGCCCCACATCCAAGGCACGCTCTCCTGGATGAGTCCTCCCCATGACTTCACAGGGACTGCAGAGGTGTAGCCTTGGGGACACACCTCTTGGTCTAAGCATCTCTGCATGAGCTCCAGATGCTTTCTCCTTTAAACTACTGAGCACGCACCCTCATAATTTAAGTTAAAGAGAGTTATATCATAGAATCATAGAATCATAGTGGTTGGAACAGACCTTTAAGATCATCAAGTCCAACCATAAACCTAACACTGCCAATTCCACTTCTAAACCACGTCCCTAAGCACCTTGTCTACCCATCTTTTAAATACCACCCTGTTCGTATGAGCTCAGCACCTCTGAAAATCAGAAACTAAGCAGTTCAGAGCCTTAGAAACCTTTTTGGAAGCATGGCAATATACAGCCACTGCTGGAAAGTTCTGCCAAGGAAAAATATTAAGGGATGCTACTTGTGCTTGAGTTCTAGGAAAGACTAAACAAGTTATGCAGGATAGGTGTGTGTAGCTTGGGCCTGCTGAGGTGCATAAAAATGCATCAGGACTAATTCTCAGTGTATCTCTTTGAATTGGTGATTCACAGTCTCATATAAATTCAGGCCAGAAAGGACTATTTGATAATCTAATACAGCCTTTTTCAAAATAAATGTGTTCTTGTATAAAGAGAAACTAAATTATTAACATTCTGTGTTAGCAGGTTTTTTTACATCTCCCTTGCCAAATGTAAATGGCAATAGAAGGCAAGGCAAACACACTCACAGCCCTTCTTTTCCATCCATTTGGGTTTGATTCCTACAGTGCTTCATTGTTTGTTTATTGAATTTTGCCTGTGTTAGTCCTAGATTTTGTACCTGAAAGGTGAACATGGAAAAGAAAAAAAAACCCTGTAAACATGTGTTCCTAGATTTGTTCCTAGATTATCAGCAAGTTGTTGTACATGAAATAATCTGCCTGGTTGGAAGAAATACATTATTTATTTTAAAAATCCTTTTGTCTCCCTTTCTTTCTAAGGGTTTAGAATGGCAAATTTTCATCTCCATTTATAAGCTGTATGCCCATAAAGGAAAATGTATTTTTAACTACACAGTGTCGTTTAAACTCACTAACAAAAGTAAATGGATATAAGTGCTACCAAAAGTTTTATGCTTGTCCTTCCCTTGGTTTTCTAGTCTGTTAACTGCCCTATAAACCTCTGCCTTCACAGCTCTGTCACACTTCACACGGGATGATTCGGTTACACGTACAGGCAGCCAGTACGAATCCTGTGTTAACCATAGCTAAATGAAAACAGGAACGCGACAGTCCGACTCTCTACTCGTCCATGCAGTTTCGTTCTCACACACCCTTGATGGGCTTTGTCCGGCTGGCAGCAGCCTCCGGCTGTCCCCTGGCCCAGGGAGGGGTGCAGCTACAGGCTCATCCCCCTCAGTGGTGAGTGGACCCATGGGAACAAGCTGCCAGGGAGAGACATTAGGAAAAAAATGTCTCCGCAGGGTGGAGTTTTGGTTGACAGCTCTGTTGCAGACCTTAGGTAGTGAGGAGAGGGACTGTTCCCCAGAGGGAAATGTCACCTGTACCTCCAGTGCTGGAGCCAGCATGGGGATGGCCAAGGAGCTGGTGCTGGAGACCTCCCTCCTTTGGTCAGGCTGTGGCAGCTGTGGGCGGGAAGCACTTTCCTCCACCTCCTCCCTTTGACAGGGGTCTGAGGGGAAGGGTGCTCCTTTTTGTGACTGGCCTTTCCCATCAGAGCCCTGCTAGGCTGGTTCAGACCCATGTTGCTTCCCTACCACAAGGCTCTCCTGTGGCAAGCCAGGATGGTCAGACAGACCTGTCTACCCTGAGCACCTGAGCCTGCAGCATTCAGGGAGAGAGCCTGCATCCAGCCAGGGGCTTTATGGACATTGAGGCCAAGGGGAAGTCAGGGAGAGCAGACACTTCATTTATCATAACTGCATAAAAATAACCAGAAAATGCCTGCAGAGTGCAGACCATGTTCTTCCCTCAGAGATAAACCTGAGAAATCTGCTGTTTTACCTCATATACCCTAGGCAAGCAGGTCTCCTGGGTCCAGGTGTGGCCAGGGCAGTCGGTGGAGCGGACACACTGCTGGCTGCACCAGCCACACTGCATGAAGGCAGGGGCCAGCAGGCACTGGCTGCAGGACTGGAAGTGGTGGCAGCCTGGTCCCCTCAGCGGGATCCGTGTTATCTGTCGAGGGAAAGACACAACACACAGGTCCTCTTAATACCTGCACCAGGCAGCAAGGAGAGTCTCCATTTACGCAATGCGCTGTGATGCTACTCAGATTTCAGATGTGCAAGCTGCAGTTCGGCTTCTCTTGAGCTCAGTAATTATAGGATCTTATAAGTAATTTAACTGACATGATTTTGAATTCACTTGGGAGAAACCCTAAAGGCATCTTAATGTTACATACAGTTACTACCAGCATCTGGTGTTTACAGCAAGGCAGCGTTTTTTGCTGATGGGAAAAGAAAATAGCAGTGTGCTCCTCCCAATCCTGCACTAGTTCTTGGAAAAAACCAGTGTGTCTCAGTATGCCTTAGTTCATACATTTGTAAAAATAGGCATGGTGGCTATTGCAACTTTGGCAAGGATGTATTAATATCTGAGACACACTTACAGCGTGTGACTGCCCATGTACTTGTCCATGTATTTGTTTTTTAACACCTACTGACAGAAAACCTGTACTATACCTAAAATATGAATTGAAATTTATATGATTTAAAATATCAGAATAGTTAGGATAACAGTAACTCTAAATATATGATAATTATTTTTAGTAAAAATATTAAAATTAGTATATAATTACATTACTATTGAAATGTATCATACTTCTTTACACTTCAGTACCTTCCTTAACCTTATTTTGAACATTTTCTTGAAGATTACTCTTACAAATATCTCATACATTTCTAGTAAATGATTAACAACAATCTTTACTGATGGCTGATGTATTTCTGTAAATTCTTATAGAACTCAAGGGGTCAAATTATTGCTTACGATTATGGTTTAGGATTATCTGTAATATTATCTGCTGATGTTTTAAAGCCATGCTACAATGCGTATCTACTTATAACAATAGCATTTTTATGACAACTCTTCATCTTTTATTAACCCTTTGTAGACTACATGCTAGAGCAATCTTCAGACTTTACTATGAACACTGACTCCCAATTTTAAACAAACCCACGTAACTCTTGCACACACTCCTCTCCTTAAAAACTTATAATGTTATGACACAAACCAACAAAAGCCAGGAAACTGTGAGCACCATTCTTTCCTTAAGCCATTGTGTGTTTTTTCTTTGCAAGCACTTGAATTAAGGACAGGTTTTCAGCCTTAAAATTTGCATTTCCTGGCTTTTGTTGGTTTATATCACAGCTCTTACATTATTTACACATTTCTCAATATTAGGCTGTTGGTTTGTTTAGTAGGGAAAAAAAAAAATCTTGGAGGAAACTTGTCCCTCCAATGTTCCCAAGGGAATGGCAAGGCTGGGAGGATGCAGAGCATAAAGCAGCAGTGTGACTAGTTCCTCTTACTGGAAGTTGCTGCTCTGACAGCAGGTTTATAGAGTGCACAGAAGGATTAGATTATGAACCACTCACCTTTTTCCCAGTCACTACCAGGGTATAGCCATCATCTGCTAATGAATTCTCGACAATAACTTGTGAAGAGACGGGATGAGAGTCTAACTGAAAGCTGACATGTGGAGCTGTGGGTTCTGAACGGGAAACCACTATCTAAGAAAGAAAGAAATTGGGAAAATCAGCAGGCAGTGTGTGACACAAATGCATGCTGCTCAGCGGTCTCACGTTCCTACCACTTTTCTGCTTGCATTAATTACTTTGCATTACATTGCATAATATTTTGCATAATGTTCCATCATGATCTGATTAAAGCGCTATAAAATCTACTTTATTTAACACACCAAAATCATAGCTGTGGGAGGAACCTCAGAATACATTGTATTTATTAAAAGACGAAGGAGTCATTGCATGTTTTCTAGTCCTTTAATTTCAGGTATTTATAAATCAAACACAAAAATTGAAGATGGGTCATTTAGTCCGCCCTGTACATTTTAGGAAGAAGAATTTTATCTACAATGCCTATTTAAAAGAATCTTAAAAATCCAGGCCTTCAAAAGTCAAAGATATTTCCATTTATTTTCACTCTGGTCCTTCAGTTTACCCTGTGTCAGTAGTATCTGGTCTTGATGCACCATTAGAATGCACAGCTATGGCAGGTGCAGGTTGTGCTGTGAGCAGCTCTACAGGTACGCGGACCTCAATTCTCACAGCTGGTGAGGTGGCTATTGCTACAGACAAGCTCTTTGCAAGTCGTGGCTGGGCACCTCAACATCTGGCTCCTGCTGATTTCTGAGGGAACTGGGTGCCCAGGACAGAGCACTCAAAGCACCTCTTAAATGACAGGAAGAGCTGGAGGCTTTTCTAGAAGATGTTCCAAAACAGAAGCCTAATTTAGTTGTCCTGAAGCTCCTTTGCAAGGACTCCCTCTCTCTCTAGTGATTTTAGAAGATTTTAGGGAGATTAGTCACACCAGTATGAAATTCCCCCACTAGTCATCTCTCTGCAACTTGAGTTACCTAAATACCTCTGAGAATTTGGGCCTATTCCTGCAAACACATGCTTAACTTTACTACTGTAACTTTGTTGACTTTAGTGGGATGAGTCATGGCTGTTAAGCATAGGCATAAAGCATCTGCAGATTGGGGTGGATATTTGATAGCGAGATTTTATAGGCTTGGGCCTGCAATCCAGAAGGATGTGCACCCAAATGTGATAGCATCAGGCAACAAAGGCAGAGGATTGTTTACATGAGGGAAGATCATGTTCATGTTTCAAAAGCTGCATCACGTGTAGTTTACTTAAGGAATTTAGATAATCAACATTCGCTGAGAAGTTGAGATTCAATGGAGTTCATTATTTAAAAAGATTGAAGCCATTCTGGAAATAACTTGTATGTCAAATGTTTAATTTTTCACTATAATGAAGCTTTTCTTCTGACTCTGCAGGCAGCATCAGAACAGCTAGGACATTGACTTACACGATTTCACTGGCGTTCCGCACTGCCAAGGTCTTTCAACAAGATGGCTGACTCCAAAACTAGACTTAGAGATGCTGTAATTACAGCTGATGTTTTGTTGTAATTCAAGACTTAAATAAAATATATGAGCAGTTAATTCACGGCACTAAGTGCTTCACATCCCAGAGGTATTTACAATTTGCGGTTACAAGAGGCATTTTTTTCTTTAAATGAAACTGGCTTTGTTAAAGACTTTGCTATGGGTTTGTTTCACAGTACAGAAAGTGCAGCTTTTAGAAATCAATAAGGTCTGATCATTCTGTGACACAGAAGTATGGTCTCTGACTCAGTGTACTAGGGCATGAGCTCTGTTTTTAAATTCAGGACAATGAAAAATAGAATGAACTGCAAAGCTGCATGAAAAAGCTTGATTAATGTTGGCATTACGGGGAGAGGTAGCACCACAGCTGCAAATACCTTTTTAGTTGATCATTAGCCGTGCCTCATCTCGAATACCCACTGCTATAAAATGCTAAGAATTCTTTTCTATCATTAATCCAGGCTTCCTCTTATTGCCAAGCATTCTTTCTGATTGAGCCACAGTGTTAACCCTTTAAACCCATCTGTGTTACAATCTCAGAGCAATACATGAAAATTTGGATCCCATCTCTACCATCTTGGAAAAATTTTTAGGTACTTTAAATGCTGACTGACTTTTATTTTACTGAGGCTGACAGTCAAGTCAGCTGCTCAAAGCCCAACTGAATAGACTTTGACCTCATGACATACAGGGAGCTCAAATTACACTTCCTAACTCATTTGAGACTATGGAATAAAAGTTTGGAGTTTGCTTAAAACTAATCTACCAGCCTACAGTGCTGCCGTAACAGATACTAGATGCAAAAATGGTCTTTTTGGTCTATATAACTGTGGGGTTTTTGCACGCATCAGCCCAGTCCTTGAAATTCTATCTTACCCTTATCCAATATAATCCTGAAGTAAAAGGCAATTTGAAGACAGCTTCTACAGTAGGAAGAAGAGGTTACTTAGGACTCCAGTGTCATTCTCAGAAACCTCCAATTTTTATTGCTTGGGACTGGGCTGGTGTGCATACAGTGTGGCTTTAATCTACCGTGGACACGCCGCCATACAGAGGCCACTTCTCCCATGGATATGGTTCAATACTACAGAAGGATTTATCTTTACAAAGACTATAAGAATTTATCTTTACAAAGACTATAAAGTGCTAGTTTGGTGGTTTGTTTTTTGGTTTTTTTTTTTGGGGGGGGGGTTTGTTTTTTTTGAGGAGGTGATGTTGGGGTTTTTAAAATATTTTAACAGTTAATTTAATAACCAAGCATTTCTCCAGAGCATAAGAGAAATGAAAGTATATCTACATGCCTGCACTCAAGCAGTTAGGAGAGAGGGAAGGTCTTGCACAGAAAAACAATTGACTGAGAGAGAACAGATGTTAGCAGTAAATGGTCAGTCCTTGCAATGAGAAGTCACCAGAGATGTTCTGCAAGGTGTCCGTGCTGGGATCCATACTGTTCAACATACCCATAAAAGAGCTGGAAAAGTGGTTGAGCAATCCAGTGACAAAGTTTTCTGATGATCTGAAGGTATTCAAGGTGTGATAGTTTTACTGGGCTAGCCCTTGGCTAGCAGCCAACACAGCCATTCACCCACTTCCCACCCCCAAGGGACAGGGGAGAGGACTCGGGGGCAGGGATAAGGAAACTCGTAGGTTGAGGTAGGAGCAATCTAATAACAGGAAAAAAAGAAAACTTAAAATAATACTAATATTAAAATAGTAGTGATAATGATAACAGTAACAAAATGTGCAAATGAGTGACACCCAGTGCAACTGCTCACCACCCACTGACCAAGCCCAGCCCGTTCCCAGATAACGATCCCTGAGGAGCGACAATCCCAAACTGAAACTGCAATCCCGGAAGAGTGAGAGCCCGAGCGAAAGCCAGAGACAGGGCCAAAAGAGGAAGAGACCCTCACCAATATACTAGACATGACGGAATATGATATGGAATATCCCACTGGCATATCCACATGCCAATCTGGCTTATTAATTTAAATATTCCTCACCCCCTTAGATCTTGCGCTTGTAGACTAACAAAACATGAAGTCCTTCACTTCCAGTGACATGAAAACACTGGTATGTTATCAGTGTTTCTCTCATAACAAATTCCAGGCTGAAAGCAAAACGCAGCACTATTCTAGTTACTAAAAAGAAACCCAGTTCTGTTCCAGCTAAAAACCAGGACACAAGGTGATAAGGATGAGGACAGACTATGAAGGATGGCAGAAAGACTTTACAAGACAGCATGTCAAGGCAATAAAATGGCAGGTGAAATACAGCAAAGATGATGAATTCAAAGCAGTATATGATAGACAGTTCCATGAAAACATCACCTCACTGCTCAGCAGCAGTCAAAAAAAACCCAAACCAAACTGGAATTATCAGAAAAAGGTTAGAGAACAAATCAGAAAACATCCTAATGTCATACAAATTCATGGCTTGCCCAATACTTGAATTTTCTGTGCATTTCTGTGTGCCTCATGACAAAAAGAGTATGTTAAAATGGGAAAAGGTTTAGAGAAGGGTAACAAAGATGATCAAAAAGCTGTAATGAACAACTACTGAGTAGGGTGGGTGTGGAAATGCTATGAAAAAAGCACATAGAATCATGAGTAGGTAGAGACTGGCCATTTACACTTTTCTAATAGAAGCACTAAACACCATCAAAAGACAAAAGTGAGAGCCAGGTTCAAAGCAACCAAAAGAGTAAGACTTCCTAGTAATATGTGATGACCTATGGGACTCCTTGCTAAAGGATGTGAATAGAAGAGGAATACAAGTTCAAAGGGATACTCCACATGTACATGGAAAGAGCTAAACAGACAAAACCCTTTAGCTCAGAAAAGCCCCAGAACAGAACGTAGTTGGAGGCTTGAAGCAGAAGGTATTACATATGTTGGCTGAGTCCCTAGGCATCCACTTGTCACCACTGATGGAGACAGAGCACTGAACTAGATGGACCCTTCGTTTAAACCCATGTGGCTCTTCTGATGTTCTTACAAATAACACTTCCAAGAATCACATTCATTATCAGTAACTACAAGCCCAGACATCCTTCTCAAAGCAAACACAGCATTTATGTTCCTCTGTTTAAAAGAAAAACAAAAGCATGTAGTCTTTCAGCATAGCTCAAAGTACTTCCATGAAGACAACAGCCAACAGTTCATTAATTAATTAATATATTAATTAATATATCCTTTATACTAGAAGTCAGTGATCACTTAAGTCCATGAACATTAAAATAATTCATTAAAATATTTTTTAATTGTCATCAGCTAGTATTAATGTTAAATAAGAAGACTTGACTGTAGGCTCATTTATGCATAATACGGCAAATTAAGACTGTTATAACTTGAGTTGAAAAACAGCATGCAGCAGCCTCTTTTAAAAATAATTCTGATGCTCAGTTCTGCTAGTCAGCAGGATTGAATTACAAATGTTACTGTCTGCATGTTGAAATATCTTCTGCAAACATGAGAGGCCTTCTAAAAGCAATCCCATCTAAGTATCATATTGTTATTTTTTCCCTAGATGTCTGGCAGGTGTAGGCCATTACCCAGCAGAGATAGGCTCAGGGTTGACTTTATTGTGTAACGCCTC